ACCCTAGGGGGAAATGAACCCGAGCGTGTGTGGGTGGTGTAGCCCATAATTAGCTGATGGAGTGGGGTTGGGTGATGGATTCTGGGACATGGCATGGGTGTGTCTGGGCCTTGAGCAGATATGTGGGCCAGAGTAAGTGGGTGCCAATGATGAACTTGGACTTATCTGCCCAGGCAGCCTGTCCTCCCTGCTGCGGTCAGTGTGGGGACCCCTGAAGGACAATGAGAGCACCATCAGTTTCTACACCCGCCAGATCCTGCAGGGACTCAGCTACCTGCATGACAACCACATTGTGCACCGGGACATCAAAGTAAGCCCTGTGGCTGGCCTGCCCTGGCCTGCTGGGAGAGGGAGAAGAAAGAGACATAAATGGTCCCAGACAGAGGCTGCCAGTTTGGATTAAGAGGGCAGACCCTTTGCAAAGGGTAGAGAATTCATCAGAGAGGTTCCTTAGAGAAGGAGAGGAGAAGTTCAAATCTGAAGCCAAACTAGATGCCAGCTCCCAGAGGGGCATATAAGTGGACAGCAGGGGGAGGGTATTGATACAGGAAGTACCAGGCTGGGATCCCAGGAGATGGGGTCCCAGGATAAAGGTCCAGTTCTGGTTTGGGGGCCAAGCTTAGTGTCCACTGAGCACCATGTCCACTTGAATCAGGGGGACAATGTGCTGATCAACACCTTCAGTGGGCTGCTCAAGATTTCTGATTTTGGAACCTCCAAGCGGCTGGCGGGCATCACACCCTGCACTGAGACCTTTACAGGTAACAGGGTGTAGGGTGGTGAGTGACATGGGGAGGAAGAACACTTGGAACCTTCCATGGAACGGGGTTTCTCCTGGGCATGGAATTAGAGTCCTAATGGGGGATAGAATCCAGGGCAGGTGATTGGGCCAGGGGTTACGTGATGGAATCTAGAATTAGAGCTTAGATAACTGATCAAATTGAGTTTAAACCTGAAATGGAGTCCAGGAGTGTTGATGCAGGTCAAGGTGGATGTTGGAGGATGAAGTGGGTGATAAGAGTTCAGGGGGATGATGCCATCCGGGATATATGATGGAACCCTACTGTGAGTGATGGAGTCTGTGAATGTGATGGAGCCTAGGTGAGTGATGGAAGCCTTGGCAGGTGATACAGCCTAGGGTGGGTGATGAAACTCAAGATGGATGTTTGATGGCCAGGTAAGGTGATGAGATCTATTTTGATGATAGGGTCAGTGTGGGTGCAGGTGGCCAGAGGATGATGGAGTCATCCCCCACCCCACCCCCCACAACCCCATGCTAAAGCCTAAATGGACATTGTTGCTCCTGTTTCTGTCCTAGGGACCCTGCAGTATATGGCCCCAGAAATCATTGATCAGGGACCACGAGGGTATGGGAAGGCGGCTGACATCTGGTCACTGGGCTGCACTGTAATTGAGATGGCCACAGGTCGCCCACCCTTCCATGAACTAGGGAGCCCGCAGGCTGCCATGTTTCAGGTGAGCCCCCTCAGGGCTTGGCCTATGGAGGTGGGATGGGGCCAGACTGCGTCTTGAACACCTCTAAACTTGGCCCTTGTTTGCCCTCCTTTCCACCACCCCCCAGGTGGGCATGTACAAGGTTCATCCACCAATGCCCAGTTCTCTGTCAGCTGAGGCCCAAGCCTTCCTCCTCCGAACTTTTGAGCCAGACCCTCACCTCCGAGCCAGTGCCCAAGCACTACTGGGGGACCCCTTCCTGCAGCGTGGGAAGAGGAGCTGCAGCCCTGGCTCCCCCCAACATGCTCCACCACAGCCCTCAGGTGATAGGCGGGTGGAGGGAGTGGGCACCCTGGAGGGCAGAGGAGCCACGGAGGTGTGAGGGCTGAGGAGTGCCCAGCTGACAGCCTTGTCCCTCCCTCAGATGCCCCTTCAGCCAGTCCCACTCCTTCAGCTGACTCAACCACCCAGTCCCAGACATTTCCACGTCCTCAGGCACCCTCCCAGCACCCACCCAGCACCCCGAAGCGCTGCCTCAGCTATGGGGGCACCAGCCAGCTCCGGTGAGAGCCTAAGGTCCTGGGGTGGGTTCCCTTTGCCTGGTTTTGCCTTTGTACTCCCTCCAGGAAAAAACACTCTTTGGGTGCCTGGGCACCTTGACCACTGGCAAGGATGGCATTGGTGCCTACCTGTGCCCTGTCCCAGGTGCTCTAACTTGTTTTCGTTGTGCCCCCTCGGTCCTGCATTTATCTCTTTTTATCCTGTGAAGTAGGCATAAAAGTAAAAGAGCCAAGATTCAAACCCTGCAGCAGGGGTGGCTGGACGGTGTTGCTGCCACTCTCCAACAGCCGTTCCCCATTGCGCCCAGGGTGCCCGAGGAGCCCGCGTCCCTGGAGGAGAATTCGGGGCTGAGCCTGTTGCACCAGGAGAGCAAGCGCCGGGCCATGCTGGCCGCGGTGCTGGAGCAGGAGCTGCCGGCGCTGGCGGAGAATCTGTGCCTGGAGCAGGAGCAGGAGCAGGTGGGCGGCCCGCCCCAGCGCCTCCTGGTGGTCCAGCATGAACAGGACTCCTGTTGATGGCCTTTGCCCAACCCTCTAGCCCCTTCGCAGCCTTCTCTTGGCTCGGGTGGGAACACCCGCTGACAACACCTCTCTTCGTTCTCAGGGTTCCCGTCTGGGTAGGAATCACGTAGAACAGCTGCTGCGCTGTCTCGGGGCGCACATCCACACTCCCAATCGCCGGCAGCTGGCCCAGGAGCTGCGGGCGCTGCAAGGGCAGCTACGGGCCCAGGGCCTTGGGCCTACACTTCTGCAAGGACCGCTCTTCGCCTTCCCAGATGCGGTGAGGGAGACTTCTCGCAGTTCAGGCTGCCCAATAACAGGTAGTGAGCTCCCTGTGCATGGGAATGTGCCAGGACTTGATGTTCCAAGATTCCCTGTCTTCTCCGTGAAGAGCGGGCAGTCAGGAAAGGGACGTCTGCCCAGGCCTTGACCCGAAGCCTGCCTATTTGTCTCTGGTGGAAGACTTTCTAAGCCCTTGCAACTCAAGCCTCACCTCTTTTTGAGACTCAACAGTCTCCCTGCGCCCTCCCTCTCTCTCCAGGTGAAGCAGATCCTCCGCAGGCGCCAGATCCGCCCACACTGGATGTTTGTGCTGGACTCGCTGCTCAGCCGCGCTGTACGAGCAGCCCTGGCTGTGCTAGGACAGGGTAGGAGGGAGAGCGGAGCCCGCCTGCCTGCCAGCGAAGGTGTGGCCCTCGGGGGGCGTGGCCGGTGGGGGCACGGACGGGGCGGGAAGGAGCAAGGGCGGAGTGACTGAACAGACATCTCCCAGACTGGCACCCGGCGCCCTTGGCCCGCCCTCCCCCTCCGGTGTCTGGGGGCCCCAAACGGGCGTACTCGCCCTGCCTGAGCTCACGCCACTCGGATTGGCAGAGGTGAAGGACGCAGTCTCATCGAAGTCGGAGGAGCTGAGTAAAGAAGGGGAGGCCCAGCAGAGGCAGCAGGAGACCCCCGTCCACAGGAGCCCGCTCCTGGTGGAACCCGAGCAGGGCCCCCCACCTCTGACGGTGCAGCTGGGCCTCTTGCGAGCAGAGACTGATAGGTGAAGCCCCTCGGAATCATCCATAGCCTCTACACGGGCTTCAACCCACTCCCCACTCACCACTTCATTCTATTGTCGTGCCCTACCCCAGGCTTCGTGATGTCCTAGCTGGGAAGGAACGGGAGTGCCAGGCCCTGGTGCAACAGGCTCTTCGGCGGGTGAATGAGGAATCCAGGACCTGTGCCCTGGCCCCTGAGACCCCAGGTGATGGGACCTGGCTGGAGAACACTAGTGGTGGGTGTGAAGCAGCTTCTAGCAGGACACCCTCCAACACTCCACCCCCCTCATCACCTGACTTCTCCTTGACAGCTGCTCTCCCAGAGGACCAGGCCCTGGTGCAGTGGCTGCAGGAACTGAGGGTGGATTCAGGCACCATCCGAATGGTGAGGGGAGAGTGTTGCTATCCCTGACCCTCCCCAACCAAAGACTCCATCTTTGCCCATCTTTTAGCTCTTCTCACCTTTTCCTTGGATGCAGAGAATCTCAATAATTGAAGAGCACTCAGTATAGCCCTCCCATTGTACAGATGATGAAACTGAGGCCCACAAAGGGGTGTGATCTGCCTCAGCATTTTGGTAGTAGAACGGAGCTAGTACCTGGGTTTCTGCACACATCTTCCTGTAATTTTCTTTCCGTTTCTGTGGGTCTTCATCTACAACCAGCTGCTGAACCACAGCTTCACTCTCCAAGCCCTGCTCAATTGTGCTACCCAAGATGATCTCACCTACACCCGCATCAGGTACATCCTGGGCCCTCCAGGTACATCCTGGGCCCTCCTGGGCAATACTTATTGCCTCATGCTGGCCAGATCCTGATGCCCCAACTGCAGGTCTGCCTAGATTCCTCCCTGGAAAACACAGGGGCACAAGGGTCTCCTGGGGACACAGGGGGCATGGGACAGACAGTGGGTAGAGAGACAGCCCAGGGCCTTCTTCTGGCTGAGCCACATTGAGCCCACTACCCCCAGGGGAGGGATGGTGTGCCGCATCTGGAGAGCCATCTTGGCACAACGAGCAGGATCCATGCCAGTTACTCCTGGACCCTGGGAGGCTGAATGAGGGCATCAAAAGCAGGACAGACCCAAGGATGGATGAATGGAGAAGACAAAATCAGGTTCTGACACAACTGCCCCAGGACCCAGGGGAAAATGGAAAAGGCCAGACAGATGGGGGGCCAGGGTAAGGCCCAGGCCTAGTCACAGTGGGGGGAATCAACCACAGATGTGCCCGAGCACACCAGACAACACCAGATTATTAAACAGAGCACTTTTGTATACTTGGCAACTTTGGAGGTTTGTGTGTGGCGGGGAGTGTATCCTGGGAACAGCCCCCTGGGGTCTTTGTGTCAGAGTCTGAAATTCCTTAATCTGGCCCCTTTCACTTTCCTGGCTCTTTCCTGCTGTCACCTTACCTCCCCTTCTCCCAGCAGACATCAGCCCCTCATCACTCTTAGAATAGACTTTATTGACTGTAGCCAAGGGCAGGCCCTGAGATGGGGGTCCAGAGAGAGGGGTTGGGTAGGTTTACGTCCTGGGAACCAGGTTGGTTCTGAGGGGCAGACGACCATCCACCCACTCGCAGGGCTGCTCCAGAAGCATCTCCCACAGCCGCTTCTCCTCAGGTGTGGAATCCATCCAGGGCACCTGGAGCCCATAGCTGCTGCCTGGATGTGGGCGGGCAGGGTGGAGGACATGGTCATGTTTGACACCTCAGGTTCCAAGAAACACCTGCCTGGTCCCAGACTATGCACTGTGCCTGGTCACCCCAATTCAAAGCTCTGGAAAAGGCAGAGAAGTGCCCAAGGCCATACATTGAACCCCTGCCTCCCAGTTATTGGCTCCACCCAGGACCCTGCCCTGCTTACCTGTGCCCAGGCTGAGGCGTGTGCCCCCCAGTTGACGGCTGGCCAGGGCCCCATGGTCCCAGAGGGAGAGCTCAGCACAGGCCTGGCGAAGGTCAGCAGGCCCAAAGCCATCATAAACCATGGTGTGGTTGAACACAGGGCTGAGGCTGCGACGTACCACCCTTGTACGTTGGCGGCTGGCCCGGCTGTCATCAGGCAGCACTGAGCTGTGAAGGAGGTGGGCTGGCATCAGGTGACCACCCCCCACTCTCCCTAGAGTCAATTAGTCACCAAGTCCTACCTATTCTCCCTCACATACGTCCATGTCCCCTGGCTCCTGCCTGAAACCTGGCCTCCAACCCTCATGGTCCTGGACCCTTTGCACCAGCCTCCTCTTGGGTCTGCTGCTTTTGAAAGGACAACTCCAGGGCTGGCTGGTTAGCTCGGTTGGTTAGAGTGCAGTATTAACAACACCAGGGTCAAGGGTTCGGACCCCTATACTGGGCAGCTGCCAAAGAAGAAAAAAGTTACAACTCCTCTTCACAGGACCCCAGAGAATGTCTCTGAAATGCAATTATGCTACTCCCTGATTCAATGACCTTCACTGGCTCCCTGTTGCTCCCTCACCCGCCCCCTATCAAGTACTTTCCAAAGTTTTCAAAGCCTTGGAACCCTTTCTGCAAAATAAAATAATGTTCAGAAGTACAGTACCTGAAAGAAAAACAGAATATCTCTGTTTGAATTAGGTTTGGGAATCCAGAGCCTGACTGGCCTACCTCCATTTCACTCCCTGAGGGTGAGGCAGCCTCTGGAGTCACCCTTAGAGGTGTCCTGGAAGCTTACTTTGAAAAGCAGTGAACCACACGTTCAGGGACCAGCCCCACAGCCTGGCCTTCCCAGTTCTCCATGGAGGGGCCCCTCCGGTTTCCCAGTCTCAGCCTCAGCTCTCCAGCAAGTCCTATAGGTGCCAGTCACCCTGAAATGTAGCTCCTCAAAGGTGTCCTCAACTTTCCTGACTCCAGGCCTTTGCTTAAGCTGTCCCCTTCACCTCTGCTTGATGGTCAAAGCCCAGGCTGGGTGATCACAGGTTGATAGTAGGGGTGTGGCAGAGGTGCCTCCACTGCAGGCAAAAGGAAGGGAAGCAGCGAGGTCCTGGTGCCCCTCACCATTGTATGTAAGTATCCAGGGATCCTGAGCGCAGCGGCACGAGGTCCTGAGCTTCCTTCACCCAGAAGTGCAGCTCCCCGCTCGGGGGCAGTCCCGCGCCTGCGGAGAGGCTCGGTTCAGGCCTGGCCCGCGGACGGAATCCACTCCCTCGCGGGACAGAGTCTCCCATGTCCCAGCCTGGCCTCTCGCGGGGCGGTCACTCACCCTCGGAGCCGGCGGGGACGTACTTGAGGGACAGGGAGAGAAGCCCGCGGCTGGGAAGCTCGTCGGGAGAGGGTGGGACCTGCGAGAGGTGGGCTCGTCAGGGGACTGGGGAAGGGTCTAAGGGACAGGGGCCACAAGGGGGAGGAGTCTCCAGATGCCAAGGGGGTGTGGTTAGCGGGAGAGGGCGGGGCCCCCAGAGAAGGGCCTCCCAACACCCCAGGGGCAGGGGCCGAGGCGGGCCAGGCCTTCGCCCGGGGCCGCACGGTAACGAGGACGAGGCGAGGCTGTGTCGAAGGCGGAGGCTGAGAGGGCTGCGGAAAGCCCGATGGGGTAAATGCGGGAGACGTGTGCCGCGGGGAGGGGGCCCGGCTGCCTCACCCGGGGATGCAGGGGGAGCCAGGCGGGCTCGGAGTCCCAGTTCCACGTGTCCAGGGGCACTTCGGCTTCGCCCAGAAAGATGTTGCGACCCAGGCTTTCGCGGTGCCACACGGACAGGCTCAGCACGCGGCCCCGGAGCTCGGCCTGCGGGACGGAGTACTGGGGACAGGAGCGTTAGTGAGCTAACGTTAGTGGGCACGGCTGTGGGCTCCGGCGTCGGTGCTGCCGGAGCGTTGGCGGGGGCTGGTCCTACCACGCTCCTCGCGGGATGGAATCCTGGGGAGTCCCGAGAGCACTGGTGGGCGTCTGCACCATCCCCACGTCCACCACGAGGCTGACACACTGCAGAACGCGTTAAGGGGGCCTCCCCGCCCGGGCAGTGATGAAAGTGACTGCCCCTGCTACCCCGCTCAGCAGGAAGGGTAGATGTTCATGAATGGGGACCGCCCCGTCGTCGCAGCCTCACCCGGAGAATCTCGTTGAAGACCGGGTTCAGATTCCGCTTCTTCACCGCCGTCTTGCGCTTGCTCTGCTTATCCGGAAGGAGGTAGGTTTTGACGTAGCTGGGGCGGGGGAGGTGAGGACCGGAGCTAAGCAGGGACGCCCCCCCCCCCGAGCCCTCGCCCCGTCCTGGGGCTCCCCCAGCCCCCACCTGGAACACAGCGTCCTACACGCCAGGCTTCGTGCTAGGAGCTTTTACAGGTAGCTTCTCACTCAAACCCCACGCCTCCCCATCACGTCCTAATGCCCATTTTAAAGATGAGGAAACTGAGGCCCAGCAAAGCTGAGCGGGGGGTTGGGCTGTGAGAATTTCCCTGGCGTCCCTGGCACCGCCCCGAGGGGAGGCCCCGTCGCCGGGCCGGGCACTCACGGGTCGGGGCTACGTGCGACTTGGGGCGGGAGCACCGCCTCCCTCCTCCTGAGGCCCCCTCCCTCGCCCCCTCACCGTGGAGGAGCTGAGGCTGGACACGGACGAGCTGCTGCTGAGCATGCGGTCGAGTGAGGGGCCGGGCCCCGGGGCCTCCTGCCCGTTCTCCAGGATCTCGGATGCCGCCTTGGTCTGGAGAGGGGCGAAGTGACGAGGGCGCCCCCTGTTTCCCCGCTCTGGGTCGCGGACGGCTGGCAGCCCTGGGCAAGTGCACTCCCCGCCGGAATCCGCTCCGGGTCTTGAGAGCAGCCGCCGGCCGCTCCCGCCTACCTGGGCCGGGGGGGGCTCTGGCTCCTTCTCTTCCCTGGACGCGGGCTCCAGCTCCGGGTCCGCCTCCTCGGCGCAGACCTGCACGCCCCCTTGGCCAGGGGCTGGGGTGGGGCACAGGCTTCTGAGCCATCCCCTGTCCTGCCCGCCCCTGAGTAAATTTGGAGGGACTGGTTTATAACCCTGGTGACCTGCATATTCAGGCCCCAGTACTGCCCTGGGTCGCCCATGGAGGCCACACACCCTCATTCTCCTAACACGGGAGGAGGAAGGTGAACACAGGTGGTCGAGGCTACTTAGCTGCTTCTGATCCCTGCAAGCTCTCTGTGCTCCCCAACACATGCTCCCACTCACTTTCCTGGGCCTGGGACTCATCCTCATGATCTGAAGCCTTCGGAGGGGCACATGGTGATGGGAAATCCTGTCCCTGAAAAAAGCAAGGGGTAGAGGTCACAGTGGGGGCTGGTGAAGAAGGGGTTAAAGGACATTCTGGGGTCCTAGGTCAGAGGCTCCAGTGGCTCCCCCAGTTTCAGACTGAGCTCGGCTCCCAGGTCAGGGCTGGGAGCAGCAGGACCAGTTGGGCCTGTACTGCACACCCCTTACACCTCAGGGCCTGCCCCACTTGACTCCAGCCTCCCACTGGCGCGGGGG